TTGAACAAAGAGAGAACAGGCCTTAGACTGAGAACATTTGGAAATGACTGTCTTCCTAGAACTGGATTACATTGCTTTGGGTTCACTCTGTTTTTATGATTTCTCTCTACTTATGACAAGTAGTACTGATTTCTCGTTTATTATAATTATAGAAAGTTTACTATTAAATACATTTAAGTAAAAAAGTCAAAGAAAAATATTATCAATTCTATGACAAGTGGTACACGTATATGGGAAAAAGCTATAAATGCATATTCTAATGACTAAAATTTGGGAAATTCTGCTCTTGGAGACTACTGCAATAGGAGTAATGAGGGTTTAGACTAGGGTGGGATGATGGCAGCGGGAATGGGGAAGAAAGGAAAGTTATGATAGATGTTTTAAGGGAGTTAAAGAAGAGGGGGACAGTTATTTCCCTGGTGTATTTTCTGCATCATTTCTCAGGATACATTTTGATGCAATAATGAAAAACTTGAATCAAAATGGCTTATGCAGTACAGTGAATTTATTTTCTTATATATCAAGAAGCCCCGAGGTAGGATGGCTCTGGCACTGGTTAAGTCAGTGGTTCACTGATGTCACTAAGCACTCAGCTTCTGTCCACCTTCCAGTCTCAGCAAAAAGACTTTGTCCTCAAGGCTGCAAGATGGCAGACATGTTGCAGGAATCCCATCATGACATATGATGTTTTCAGTGTAAGAAGTCATCTCTTCCTGAGCTGAAGTGTGAAAGGTGAAGAAACATTTCCCTGAAGGCACCTCCACCAAAAGATCTTTCTTCAGGATGCATTGGCCAAAAATATGTCACATATTCATGCATAAATGAATTGCTGCAAATGGGAATCAAATCACCATAACTTATCTAGATTAATTAGGTCCTTTCCCTGAGGATGATGTTCTCAGGATAACAGGGGACTCTGCTAACAAGTACGGCTTGTGGGCAGCCACCCATGTTTTTACAACTACCATAGAGAGCTGCAGGTTTTCTCTGAATCTCGGTGGTTCTGAAATTCCTCAAATTTACTTTTGAACACAAGTGGGAAGTTCTTGAGGCTGTGGTTTTTTATTTCTAAAAATTTTACTTAGCTCTTCTCTCCATGTGTTGGGTTAAGGCAGAACGCAATACTTCCACTGCAAAATCAACATCTGGTTTAGTGACGCACATCGAGGGCGCAATGCGGAACGTCTGAGGAGACAGGGCGGAGGGGAAGGCATCGTCAGAGCATCAGACACAACTTGGAGGAGAGGCACTAGAGTAAGAATCCCACGCCCTGAGTTTATGCCTTTTCTTGTATTTCTCTCATGGGGTGGGCCTGCTCCTCTCTCCCCAGTGCCGTGTCCAGGCTGTCCCTCCTCCAGTCCCCACACAAACCCCTGTACCATCTGCCTCTGCTCCTTTTCCTTTTTGTCCTCCATGTACCTCCTGGTCCTTCTACCACCTTCCCTGAGGCCCCTCTCGACTCTCCCCTTTGGCCAGCACCGAGGGTGACCTCCGTGTCCATGTGTATGACACAAGCTAGCGTGTCACTTTCCTGACTGCCACAGCCCCCAGCCCCTCTTCTCCACTCCTCTGCATCCACTCACGCCCCAGGCCAGCACCCCGAGCCTTCTCTCCACCAGAAATGGCCCTCTCGTGGCTTCCTGTCCCATCTATCCTCAGCACGGAGACGCCAGCCTCCGCCTGCCTGCGCCATCCACTCAGAGCGCGTCCCTCCTGTCCTCCCCTCCTTCCTGCTGCTGCAGCCGCGGCCAAGTCCCAGCCTCAGCCTAACCCAACTGCTCTGCCCCCGGCTACACGGCTGACAAGTGTTAGGGGAAATCACACAGCTAGGCTGACCGACACCGTGAGAGATGCAGGGTCGCCAGCTTCTGCTGGTCCCCCCAGTTTTCCTGGGCCTCTGCCAGCTTCCCGTCCCCTTCTGCGTCCTGATCGTTCTTGTGCACGGCTCTGCTCCGCGCCCACGCCTCTCACTGTGCCTCACAGACAGTCACGCGTCACGCTTCCCAGAGGAAACGGAAGCTGTCAGGCAGGGTCTGTCTACAAACTTGCTTGCTCCCACGTCCGATCTTAAATCCTTTCCTGAAGGCTCAGAGAACCAGGTGTCTTCACTGTTCCACTGCACCTGTCCCTTGACCCTCACTGATCCCATCACCTTCACTCCAGGACACAGCCCCGTGTTCTCCTGCATCTTCGACTTCCCCTCAGCCCATAAACAAGCAGGCTTAAAGCTCTCATAAGCCAGATCCAAACCACACCAAATAAAAATCCGTGTGGGCCCCTGGTCCCCTCTGGCTACCATACAAATGCCATCCTCCTGCTTTTATCCACACTTGTTAAAGAGGCTGGTTGAGGCTTATCAGCCATTATTTTTCACTTTGCCCTCCCTGCATTCTCATCTCAAACCATTGCAGTCTGGTATTTGCTCCTGTCAACCTGCTGACACCGCTGTCCTACAGTTGCCTGCTCAGTGAGTCTGCCGGGCATCTCTCAGCTCATCCGTCCCGGCCTTCTCTGCTGCACAGGACGCGGTGCGCCTCCCTCTTCCTGCACCTTCCACTCTCCTGCTTCCAGGACCCCTCCCTCTTCCAACTCCTCATCCCTGTCTCCACCTGGGCACCTTTTCCTCCTCCTGCCCTTTGCAAGTTGCTGTTACCCAGGTTTCTATCCTCACCTCACCTCATCAAGACCCTAGACTTTCCAGATTTTCTCATCTCACCACATATATGCTGATGGCCCCAAATCGTGATCTTCGCCTCAGCCCTTTCCTCTGAGCACTGACTTGTGTATAGAACCAGCTGTTCCTCAGCACCTCACATGGAGCGTGTCCAAACCTGAGCTCGTTCTTCCCACCCTACACCTAGTCAGACATGAGGGCTTCATCCCCCACCTGCCTTCACTGTTCATATGCAAGTCCTGTGCATTTTACCTCCAGAGTTGTCCTCAGCCTGTCTCCTCTATCCCTACTCCCACCGCTCAGATACAAACAGCATCCTCAGCCCCACCCGGACTCCCTGCCTCCCATCTTGTCCCCTTGGATTTACCCTCCTCAGAGGCCAGATTCAGAAATCAGACTGCCTGAGTTTGGATCATGGTTCTGCCACTTATTAGCTGTGTGACTGAGGCAATTTACTTAACCTCTCTGTGCCTCTTTTTCTCCATCTATAAAATAAGGATAATCATAAGAGTACTTATTTCATAGGCTTTTTGGGAGCATTAAATGAGTCAGTTCAGGCAAAGTGTTTAGAATAGCGCCCGACAAGCAGCGAGAGCTCCTTACCAGTCCCACACACCGCCTCGGTCCTACGCACCAGCCTTGCCAGTGTGGGCAGCCCTGTGCACTTCGCCATGTTTCCACCTGCGCTTTGTTTATCTTGTTGTTTAAGACTCTGCTAGACAGAAAGGCTGACTTAGGAGTCCCCTCTGTCTCCTGTAATGCCCCTTTTTACATTTACATATGAGCCTACTACCTTGTATTGTCATTTTCTGTTACTTGCCTTTCTCTCCCACCAGCTCCATGAAGAGAGGGACCAGATCTTACTAAGATTGCAGCATAACACCTGCTGCTAAGTGCTTAATAAATGTTTGCCAAATAACAGAGTAGCTAAGCAAGTAAACAATTGTTTTATGTCTTTCTAAGTTACATGTCTTAGGATTTTTAATCATTAAATTAAGCTGTCTGATTTGTACCAAAAAATATTTATGGCCAGGACTAGAAAAAACTCACAGAGAATGTCCCAACAGAAGTGCTCATTCTGGTTTTGTTTGGCCTGGTTTGGTTTGGGCTGGGAGAGCTTTAAGTCTGTTTCCTTAAAGGCTGAGAGGAAGGTGAGGAAAAGTTTAAGATGAAAGAAAACATGGGAATGTTGCCTTGTGTTAAGGTGGAGGGAGGTCTGGCTGGTTAGCTCAGTAGTTAGTGCATGGTGTTGCAATGCTAAGGTAAAGTGTTCAGATCCCATACTGGCCAGCCATGAAAAGAGGAAAAAGAAAAAGTGTGGGAGGGGGAGGAAGAACTGAGGGATCAGGGCACAGGTGGCAGGTCTGAATCCGAACAGCAGAAACGCCTCATTCTTGGAGTCTTCGGGAGAGGAGGTGCTAGGTCTGAATGTTTGTGTCCCCCCCTAATTCATATGGTGAATTCTTCACCTCCAAGGTGATGTGATGGTATTAGGAGATGCAGCCTCTGGGAGGTGATTAGGTCATGAGGGCAGAGCCTATGTGAAGATTAGCTCACTTGCCCCATGTGCCACAAGGTCACAGCAAAAATACGGCCGTCTAGGAAGCAGGCCCTCCCCAGACACCGAATCTGCAGGCCCAGTGATCTTGGACGTCCCAGACTCCAGAACTGTGAGAAATAAATGTCTGCTGTTTAAGCTGCCCAGTGTATGGTATTACGGTGTTTTGTTACAGCCACCCTGATGGACTAGCACAGGACGTAAGAATGGGTGTGGGGACAGATGAGTCTATACAGAGATCTTGCCTGAGAGCTTCCACTTCCCCTGAGAAGCATGAGGCAAGAAGTGGGTATTTCAGTATCCACTGAAATTGTGAGAGGCAGGAACGGAGCAGGGAGACTGGGAAGAATGAGGAATGTTTAAAACGGGAAAGAAAGATGACAAAGAACAGGAACGAATTAGAGAGAGCACAAGTCCCCCTCGCTCTCACATCTCTGCGTGGAGCCCATCCCTGGTGGGGGGATCACTGCCCACAGCAGCAGCAGCAGCAGCAGCCTGCAGTCGCGGCACTGGGGACACCAGGTCCTGACGCGGGACTGGGCCTGACTTCTCCAGGCAGGGAGCAGTACGATCTAGGTCTGAGTCGCTCAGTCCGAAGGCGAAGGACACTGGGAGTGGCTGGTCTTGAGTCCGTATTAGCGACCATGCCCAGGATGGTCCCGCACCGCTCTGGCAGGGGTCACCTGGACCCTCCAGCGCCGTTAGGTTGCTCCCTGCCACAGTGGCCACTAAGTAGGTTCGTGAGCTCAGAGCCCAGGACTAAATTGAGAACGGCTAGGATTGCTTTAACAGGGTCAGAATTCATTCATACATGAGCAAAATGATTTCTTGCACGGCCGTTATGACTGCATCAGCACCCTCACTGTAGAGCGCCTGCTGTGGGCGCGCGTCTCCCACGTGCCTCCGCATCTTCTCGCCAGAGCCGCGGGGAGCAAACCGTTACACCACGGCGCCCCCTCGTGGCCAGAAGGCGCCACTGCCCGTTTCTTTCGGATACGCCTGAGCATTATCCCTGGAGGAAGAGCGGCTGGCTCCGCTTAGCACAGTGTGCAGGAAAGCCACCAGCATTGGGACAGCAGGGAGACGCCCACCTAAAGTGACAGGTCAAGACCAACCTTTCTCTTACCTGGGAAAAAATGCCACCTCTGCCAATGAGGAGCCCCATGTGCTTGCAGTCCTCATGGATTTGATTTACTTCTTCACGGGGAAGAGGCTGGCGACTCGTCTGCAAATACATTTTCAAAACGTTTTCTGTCTGAACGGTTCAAAGAATTATTTCCAAGAGAAGAAAACCCCCTCAAGCGATCAATGCCCTTCTCCTCTCCTTCCCCCCCCCCCCAATCCCCTGTAGTTAATAAAGCTGTTAATTGCCGAATCAAGTTTTGGAGGCTGTTATTAAAAATATTTGTTTTTATCCCAGTTCATGCCAAATTCCTCCAAACAAAATGAAGTTCCACGCAGATAGCCAGTGAATCTTGGCCCTGCTAATGGCTACCCTGGGAGTTTGGTTCTTTAATAGTTGAATGTGGCGTCTGCTTTATTGATGTGGGAATTCTGCTCGGCTCCTCTTCACTTCGTTCTGCCCACGTAAAGAGGCCATTTCAAAGTCCAGGAACTGGCTCAGAGTTGGATGAGGGCACGGCCAAGCATTCCCTGGGCCACAGAAGCCCAAGCATTCCCTGGGTCACAGCACTGGTCACAGCACGGTGGGGGTGGAGCTCTTTGTCCTCGTCTTCCCTACTCCTGGAATTTGCTCTTTCTCCTCCAAGACTTCCTCCTCCAGGGTTAGGGAAGGCAAGCACTTCAAGAGCCAAGAGGCTGTGTCATCACTAGGCATCTGAAGTTGGACCCTGGTACCAGGGGGTTTAGGCATGCCGATACCTCTTTGGTGACACTGGGCTGGGGCTTGTGTTCTTTCTGTGTGTCTCCTGTTTTCCCAGTGTGTGAATCCAAACACCTACCTTTAACTTAGTTATTTCAAGTCTGACTGTGTCTGCATGATTTGGAAGCCTTTCAAACTACAGATATTTGGGCCTCATGCTAGGCCAATCAAATTAGAGTATTTGGGGCAAGGCTTAGGCATCTGTATTTTTAAAGTGCTCCTCAGGTGACTGGGCTGAGAACTGCTCCAATCTTCCTCTGTTGAGGGCTGAATGCCATCACTGCTACTGGCCTTTCCTCTTTCTTCTGCAGCCCAGCCACAGTGGGCATCGGCACCAGGCCTGGCTCCTGGTTTTAGGTGCATGAGACATGATCCTTGCTCGTGGGTCAGCCCCTGCGATCCTCGTGAGGCAGAGGAGGACTCCCTCCACTGTGCCCAGCTTCATCACATCCCTCAGGGCTTCCTACCCACCCTCCCTCTGGGCTTTGCTATCCATTCCCCTCCCCCCACCAGCTCCTGATCCAATTCTCTCCCCAAATCCTCCATTCCTTATAAGGTGTCAGTGTCTGAGAACAGAACAGGACCAGACTTCCCAGGGATGTTTGCATTTTTTGCCTGTCTTTAAGGCTTTAAGGTAAAAATAAACAATGTTCAAACTTTCAGACTATTGGATAATGGAGGACCTGGGATGGAGGAAAGACTAGGATCTTCTCCATTGACCCCCAAATGTCATTGTGTATTCCTGCTTGCCCCTGAGGTTCTCACCTATTAGTGAGGGAAGACTAAAATACTACAAAATAATTTAGGGCTAACCTGTGAGAAGTGGAAAGAAGTCAAGCATGATTTGAAAGACCAGAGATCAGAAGAAGCCAGTGCCCCTAGAAAAGATTCCTGAAGGGAAGTTGGGTTGGTAGGAGCCTTGCCCAACATTATGGATCTGGATAGGTGGAGTTTGTTTGGCCTCACCCCAACATTGGTCTTGGCCAGGACACCCTTGCTCCCTTGCCCATTTTATCAACCCCCCCAACTCCCACCTTTAACTGCTGTGACTGACTGAACATACTACATGCATTCCACAGGGAAAAGCAGGCTGGAAACTCTAATGAGGCAAAGCCACAGGGCAGGCCCTTGTACTGAACACTGTGTCCCACTGCTTGATAATGAAGTGGGCATGTTAGTAATTAAAATGCATGTTGGGTGTATAACGTCCCAACATTATGGATCTGGATAGGTGGAGTTTGTTTGGCCTCACCCCAACATTGGTCTTGGCCAGGACACCCTTGCTCCCTTGCCCATTTTATCAACCCCCCCAACTCCCACCTTTAACTGCTGTGACTGACTGAACATACTACATGCATTCCACAGGGAAAAGCAGGCTGGAAACTCTAATGAGGCAAAGCCACAGGGCAGCCTGCTCAGGCCCTTGTACTGAACACTGTGTCCCACTGCTTGATAATGAAGTGGGCATGTTAGTAATTAAAATGCATCTTGGGTGTATAACGTAGCTTTGCGTTTATCTTTTTTGTTTTTTGCTTCTTTTTTGGTGAATGTGCATTTAAATGATAAAATAATTTTGTGGTTATTTAAGAAAAACCCAAAACTTCAAACAGTAAAACAGTACAGAAATGCATAAAGTAAAAATGGAAAATTTCCCCTTCCCCAATCCTCTTCCTAGGGACACCTCCTATTGATAATTTGGCTAAATATGCATATTTAAACAAATAAGTCATATTTCTAATTTTCTTTTAATAATTATCTTGGATATATATATATGATCTACCTATCTAAATATATGTACATATTTATAATATATATTTCCATATCAGTGTATTTAGACCTATTCTGCTTAAAGTTACCTAGTATTTTGTCATTTGTCAGTAATTTGCTCAGTCTCCTGTTGTTGGGCATTTAGGTTGTTTCCAGTTTTTCATGATTATAAACAATGCTGCAAACATCCTTGTTCATATATATCTTTACATACTTTTGGGAGCATTTCTTTAGGACACATTTCTAGCAGTGGAATTGCCAGGTAAAGATGTATAGACATTTATAATTTTGACAGACAAATTGCTGTCCAAAGGGATGTACAAAATTACATCCTTACCACCACTGTATGGGATGGCGGCTATGCTGGACGGTATCATAGCAAAGGCTTGGGCTGTTACAATTGGGTGTGGTCTGAAGTATTGCATTAAAATCATTCCACAAACACTTATAAAGCACTATCTGCATGTTTCCTGGCCTCAAAAGTGTACAACTTATTTAGGAAAATAAAATATTTACACACAAAAACTGAGTTAACAAATGCATGGTGAATTCCATAGACTGAATGTTTGTGTCTCCCCTAAATTCATATATTGAGACCTAATCCCCAATGTGATGGTATTAGGAGGTGGGGCCTTTAGGAGGTGATTAGGTCATGAGGGTGGAGCCCGCATGAAAGCTATTAGCTCTCTTATAAAAGAGAACCCCAAAGAGCTCCCTCACGCCTTCTGCCACGTGGGGTGGGAAGACAACCATCTATGAACAAAGAAGTGAGCGCTCACCAGACACTGATCGATCTGGCGGCACATTGAACTTGGCCTTCCCAGATTCCACAACTATGTGACTTTGGGTGCAAATTTCTGTTGTTTCTTAGATATGCAGACTATAGAACTTTGTTACAGCAGCCTGAACTGACTATGATAGTAGAAAAGATCTTTTCAAAGGAGCTCCTTAGACAGTGACTGCTAGAGGAACTCTCTGAAGGGTGGAGCCCCCGTGTAGGGGAGAAGCAAAGGCAAGATTTAAGGGGGAGGTGTGAAGAGCTGGATCTCCATAGACAGAGATGGAGAGGAGGGTACTGCGTCCCATGCTTGAGGAAAGCTTGAGCAAGTGACATGAGACGTAGCAGAGTGAATGGCATTGAGGGGATAGTGAGCAGAACAGGAAATGGAAGAGCTGGCATTTAAACACAGGTGGTCTTCCCCCAGGGCCCATGCTTAGAACGGACTAATGGCAGAGCAAAGACAAAGAACTCATTGTACAGATACTATTTTATAGCCTGTTTTATTTTTTCCACAACATAGTCTGTACATCCTTCCACGTCAAATATATATCTATTCCATTGTAGCAGGAACCCAACATGATTAGCTTGTCCTGCATTAATAGTCATTGGGAGAATTCTGATGTTTTACTATGCTGAATAAAGTTCTGACAAACATCTTTGTTCATGTGACTTTGGGTGCTCAGAGTTGGGTTTGGAATAGTAACAGGTGAAGAAACCCCTCCTCTCTCAATGGGCTTTTTGCTCTGGAGTCTAGACTTTAAGGAGTATGGATATCTTTGTGGAAGATCCTGGGGCAGGGACTCGGATGGACTCTTCCGAGCCTTAAAACCTTGTATTGGGCCACAGGCTGAAGATAAGGACATTTTGGCTTGTGAGCTGGAAAAGCTAGTCTCATATTACTCTCTATTTTCCTGTTGTCTTCCCTTAGCTTTTGAATCTTATTTAAACTTTCCTGCTTTGTACTGGTTCTGCCATGTGATATCCATGGAAGAGTCTTATATCCATGATCTGGTCTGAATATGAAAAGAATTCAGCATCCGTCCTTCTAAGGTAGGATGGTGTGGTAAGACCAAATAGCGAGATATCACTCAAGAGAGAGCTGGATCCCTGTGGACAAGAGTAAGGGCTGTGAAGTTAGCCTGGGATACTCCCCCCCATGCCAAGGACCTAGGCTTTGTCTTTATGGAGGAAAGGCATGATTTCCTACTGGCATGCACTGTTGGGGAAGCAGAAGGGTCTGAAAGACATGGCAAAGAAGGAATCAACAGGACTTCATGTTAGAAACAAGGGAAGAGGAGGTGTCATGGATTATTTTGTGGGACTAAGGCTGGATAATTGGGAGAACGGTGGAGGGTGAGAAACAGAAACAGGGATCTTGGGAGGAAGAACCGGTTTGGGGAAAATGCCAGGTTCAAGTGTTGTCATGTTGAGTTTGAGGTCTCCGTGGGCAGCATTTCTCCCTGGTTACTTGGGAGATCGAAATCCATTCACAAACAGACAAGCAAAGAAATGCAAAACCCAGTATACAAGGGGACTTCCAAAAATTCATGCAAAGATTCGTATTATCTTTTAATTCTATTTTTCCATGAACTTTTTGAACTACCCTTTTATCTTTAACATCCTCACCCCAGATCTTCACCACAGCTTTCTCCTGGTCTTTCTCCCTTACTTCCACTAGCTCTCTGGGTCACCTGCCCCTCCCCAGACAATTTCCTCCCCTCCCATATTTCTCAGTATTCAGTCATTGCCTGTGGTCTTTGCTAGCTGCAGGGATAACATTGGTCCCCTTTTCCAAATGCTGTCCCTCACTGCTCTGGAATTCTCAATGACCTGCTAGCATTTTGTTCATGCTCAACATTCCCTACTAATCTCCAAAGGGTTTTGTTGGCTCCTGCTGTCCACAGGTGCTCTCTCGCCCTGAGAATGAATGAATGATCTTTCAGCGGATGCTTCCTACCTTCACTCCTGCTGGCCCCAGGAAGCCACAGAAAGCAGCAGATCAGTACCTACCTTGTCCTGCACCATTTCTATTCCTATCATGAGGCCTTTGCCTCGGACGTCTCCAACAATTTCAAACTCATCCCTCAGCCTAGCAAACTTCAGTAACATGTAGGTACCAACTTCTTGACTGTTTTCCTGGAGATTTTCTTCTTTAATCACCTGTTAAGAGAAAAACTCAGATGACCTCTCATGGCCAAAGTTCTAAGACTGAGGATAAAGCACAGCAAGGCCCATGTAGATGACCCTTTTTAAGGTAATTTAACCAAGAAGAACTCAGAACAAAGTCTGGTGTGGTCACACCATGGACTGCAGAGAGTTTTATTGTAAGAAGAAAAGTCTTGGTACAGGGGATGTTTACTATCCCAAACCCTTCACCTTCGGGGTGGGTAAGAATTTAGGAAAGAATAAAACATATTTCTGAATGCAGTTGGTAACATAGATTCCATAATCCTGAGGTTGCTATCGCCAGGCTTTACTGAGAACTGGGAGGCAGTAGTGAATAAGACAAATGCTCTGAGGAAAGAAATACCACAGGTGCTTTCCCTGCTGGGGGATGGTGACCTTTGTCCAGCAGCCCTCAGCCAGACCTAGACTCCCATAACCAAGCACCCCAACTTGGGGCCCTGGCCTCTTTAGCTGGGCCAAGCCCCATGTGTGCTAAGAGCCAGGGCACCAGAAGATAGAACAGGATTCTCATGTTACATCCCACTCACAGCAGACACCCGGGTTTTTTGAAAAGACACATGAAATATACTACATTTATATTTAGCTGATAATAATTGCATGGCTCCAGGCAAACCTTGATGATTTTAAGACCCATGTGTTCACCTTAACTCTCTCTATCTTTTAAATTGGTTGAGGTGACACAGCACTTAAAAAAGAAGAAAAGCTGTCAATGTCTACAAAATGAAATAAATGACACATTCCTACCCACACTTTCTCATCTCATGATCTAATCATATTTGAAAATACTGATTTAATTGACAAGGGCAGCTTTTATGTGTTTATTTTCATTTAAAAATTCTCTTAAATTTCATTTTTTTGAGAAGGTAGATCATGTTTATGATTTTAAAATCAGAAAGTATAAAAGTGTAGCAGCAGAATGACTCTCACTGACTCCTGTCCCCTAGCCCAGTTTTCTTCCCTACAAACAACCACAGTAATTCATTTATCAGATATTCTTGCAGAAATACATTATATTTATTTAAGCAAATGCTATTATGCATCTTAGCAAGGACATTTAAAAAATATTTTTCAACAGACGAGACCCCAGTTTAAATCAGTGGGGTAAGGCTGAACAGTTGCTCAGAATAGCTGAATCACCAAGTTGTAATCACGTAGAACTCAGTTTCTCTTTAGTCATTTAATTTATGACAGTATAACAAAAGGAAGAAAGAAAAAATACACACGACAGGGCCAAAATTAAACTAAAAAAAGATAGCCATTAGTAACTATTTGTAAAACACTACCCAGATAACAAAGATATTTCAGTGCTAACAGCAGGCTAGGGGAATTCTTACATTTCCTAGTATGTGAAGTTTATTATGTATTATTTCTTATCTAATACTTCAAGCACCCAAAAGATATCTTAAAAAAGGGAGAAGGCTGAATGATAACTGGAACCCTAACTTAAATTGATGAACTACTAATTAACTCTCCACTTAATAATGTAATGTGGTAGAGTTCTGATAATGTGTGTGTGGTTTTGAAATAGTCATTTTGTAAAATGAGTGATGTTAATGTGGCTGCTGGAACGAACCTCAAGCACAGCAGATCCAATGGCGCAGGCCATGGGGTTCCCTCCAAAGGTGTTGAAGTGATTCACGCATTGAGCCAATGACTTGGCAATCTCTAGGGGGAGAAAATGAAAGGTAGATGAAGAGGGACACATTCCTATCCCTCATCTCTCATCACATCACTTGGATTACATTTACTTTCCTGTTGTAAATGCCATTGTGTCCAATTCATTCTTCCCTCACCTGATTGATAGTGGATGTTTTGGACTGAATTGTGTCTCCTCAAAATTTATATGTTGAAGTTCTAACCCTGAATGTAATTAAGGTTAAATGTGGTCATAAGGGTGGGGCCCTAATCAAATAGGACTGGTGTCAATATAAGAAGAGGTAGAAGACCAGAACTCCCTTTTTCTCTCTTCCTTGTGCACATAGAGGAAAGGCCATGTGAGGACATAGCAAGAAGGTGGCTGTCTGCAAGCCAGGAGGAGAGACCTCACCAGAAATTAACCCTGCTGGCACCTTGAGCTTGGACTCCCAGCCTCCAGAACTGTCAGAAAATAAGCGTCTGTTGTCTAAAGCACACAATCTGCGATATCTTGTTTTGGCAGCCTGAGATGACTAATATAGTGATAAAGAAAAATAGCTTATTTACTCAATGAGAAGTTTGATAACAAAATCTTTAATGTGTTATATGAATTAAAAAGTACCTTAAAACTTGATTTATGGGAATTTACATGGAAGCTTCACTTAGCTAAACCTTTTTTTCTGAATTCTACTCTTGAGACCAAGAAGGAAATGTCAAGAACACAATCTCACGTCAAGGATTTAGTAACATAATTTCCAGACTGTTTCAGGGTGAGTATATATTCAGTTCATTATACTCCACCTTCTACACCCACTTTTTTGTGCCTTTATTCATTCAGGAAAAACACTGAGCTACTACACTTAATTTGGCCTCTGAAATGTGTTTAGTATTGGTGGAAAAAACAAATAAAATAATCTTAGGATTTTTAATGATAAGTGGTTTGTAAAAAAATTCCTTTCTGTAAAACCTTACTAAAATGGAAAATACGGTTAATTTTAATGTTTATGTTCATTTCATAGAATGTTCTAGATAAGTGAGATTTCTACTGTATTTGGCCATTTTGTTGATAAGACATCAACAAAGAAATCTCTCACTCTGGACCTTGAACCTGTTGCTTCTTGGTGTGGGAAGACCAAGTAAGAGTCTCTTTCAAGACTGATTTTTCTGGAGGTTTCAGGGTTGGTTCCATTTTAGTTTTGTAGCACATTTTCCTAGACTTTGTCAGTGTGGTGGAACTCTGCATTTCGTTGTGGGGATGGGAGAATTAGTCTTACCTACTGCAAGAGCAGGAAGGACTGCTTTTCTTCCAGGTGTCCCACAATCTGGCAGAAGACTGTTTCTCTCTTTCATTTGCTTGGGGAATACATCATGTCATTTCCGTCACTGTTTCCAACCCACACAAGTTCCGAAACACGTGTTTTATACCATAGCCAGTGCAGGAGGCCCAGAAGCAAACACAAAGTGCCCATCAGTCCTACCTGGAGTGGTTACAACTGCTGCCATGGGAAAGCCATTCCCAATCCCTTTAGCCATGGTGACAATGTCAGGCAGGACGTCGTGGGTTTGGAAGCCCCAGAAATGAGAACCCAACCTTCCAAATCCTGTCTGCACCTGATGAAAACAAATTCAAATCTATTGGAAACCTTCCAAGAAGCTGCTTTTTCTGTTTTCTTCTTTTTCCTCCTTTCCTTTCTCCTCCTCCTCACCCTCAACATCATCACCACCAGCCATTACCGTCACCAGCCTTGTAGTATCATGGACAAAGTACTAAATCTGTGCCTGAGCTTTTGGGCATTTAAAGATATTTACTAGCTTTGTGTAATTCTGGATGTTTCTAAAGTCCTCTGAACCTCTATTAAACCACCTGTCAAATAGATATACAAATAACAGTACAACACCACTGGGCTGCTGTGAGCATCTTCTCAATAATACATGTGAAAGCAATCATTAAGATTAACAATCCTTAACAAGCCTCTCCTGTGTGTAAGTCTGTGGGGTAGAAAAGCGTAGAAGCTGGGTCTGCCCCAGGCTGGAGGAGGCAGGGATTACTGTCGGTCTAATGGACCTGGGGCACTTGCCCCTCAGCCTGGACAGGCTGGTCATCGTCTTCCCATGAATCTTCGTGAGAATTGCATCATGAGGAGGTCCCAGCTGAGCCATTTAACTCAGGTTAAATGTGGTTATAAGGGTGGGGCCCTAATCAAATTCTCTAATCTAGAAATTGCAGTGATTGGACTGAAAGTTGACCTTAGTTTTTTTGTGCATGCTGTTCTCTCTCTCTAGAAGCCCTCTTCCTGTTTCTTCATCTCATTAATTTCTGCCCTTCAAAACACAGCTCCATCATCACTTGGTCTAGGAAGCTTTTCCTGAGTCCCAGTAGGCTCCCACTCAAGGTACTCTGAGTGTGCTGCCTTCAGAAGTTTTCACTGTGGCTTATCATCACTAGTGTATGTGTCCGATGGCAAAGGAGCCTGTCTTACTCCTCTCTGTATCCACAGCACCTAGCAGAGTGCCTGATACAGTGTAGACACTTAATAAGTGTTTGCAGAATGAATGGAGTGGCAGAAGCGCTGAATTGAATGAAGCCACACAACAGCTCCATGCAAATTCCTGCTAGAGCCTTCCCAGTGAAGGTTCCTTGATCTCTTTCTGGCTCTCAGTCTGCTTCTCCCCACACATACCACAATGCAGGGAGGAAATAGGGGTGTAGGCTCTTGAAGCTGAAATGCACTTGAAAGAGCAAGTTTTCTTCTCAGGCTCTCTTTTCATTTTCCCTGTTCTTTCTAGATTCTGCAAAGTCAGATTCTAGGGGTTAGAATGAGATCAATTTCACAGAATTTTATAGTAGGATAGAGATGGATCATTCTAAGGTTTATGAACACAAATGTCTTCGGGGATGAGGAGCTTACACAAGGGAGAGAAGCAGGCTGGGTCAATGACACTGAACAGGGGCAGGGACTGCCTAAGAGCAGTCCATTTCAAATTTAAAATTAGTCTGTGCCAGACCAGCCAAGACTGGCTGCCATGTTTGGCCCCAGAAGTTGCCAATTTTCTATCTTTGATTCCAAATTCTTCATTTTAAAGAAAAGAATGCCAACGATTATTACTCTGTGACAGAACTGTCCCCTGCACTCAGGTTTCCATCTTGCACCCTCCTTTCTGTCCCACTTTGCCTTTCTATCCCACATTCTGTCATTTTTGAGGGGTGGCTTGGTACGTTGGTTAGTGGTGTGGTTTTGGGAGCCTGAGTCCTGGATCTTTTCCTACTAAATGCATGAACTTGACAGATGATTTGACCATCTTGGACTTAAATTCACATATCTGTGAAATGGTAATAATTACACTGGAGCATACCTTATAGGATTGCTGTAAATGTTAACTGAGTTAATACATGAAAAGCACTATGAACAGTTCCTGACACATAGTAAGTACTGAGAAAGTTCTAGCTCTTCTTATCTTTACCTAGCCATTAGGATAGTCCTTCTTAAGGTTATCCTGTCTTAGGCAGTTTCCAATTACATTCTTGACAGTCATAAAACCACGTATCTTAGAAAATTCGGAAATTCACATTTTCCTTGAATTCAGTCCTTCCTCCTAATTACTCTGACTGTGGCAGCTTGACTGTGTGCTGATTCTGAGGCCAAAGTTTATCCTCCTCATTGATGTGGCTAATTTTAAACATACTGAATATAATTTTCTTCTTTTTGTAATAACAGGTTAAATTTCTTCAGCTAGGACTTTGATTTGTTGACTGGCAGGTTGGAGAAGGGAGGACGGGAAGGGCAGGAGGTGTCAGCCCAAGCCATGACCCGTGCACCTGGGCATGACACAGACCTGGCTGCATGTGAGGAAATTGCAAACTTTTTGCTGAAGGGGCAGCCCAACTTCAGCTGAAGGGAATTTTTAGTTGAGGGAAACTGTGCAGAAAAGATGGCAGGATTGAAACAGGTCTGAAACACACTTACAAGTTGTCCACTTGTCCTTGGTGGGTCTGACCACGTGTTAGTGCAATCATGATGGGTCACTGAGCAGGGAGCCTGAAGGACTTCTCTGGCCCTGGTGACCATCCCCTGGTCTTTTAATCTCCATAGCTATTTTTAGTAGACAAAAGACTGCTTTCTTTGATACACTCTAATATTAGGTATAATTATAAGTACATTGACCCCTTTAAAAAACACCAGACTAAAAGCTCACATAGCCAATGACTTTTATTTTTTTCAAAGGAGTCCTCTTAGGGGTCCTGTGTGCCTATTCCAACAATGCTGTCTTAACTCAGTTATTTTACAAATTTTTGAGAACTATTTTCCAAATATCTGTGATGGTGGCACTCTTCTAGTTTAGAGGCTGGGGATGATGATTCATTTATTTCTAAAATATTATTTCCAGGCAAGTTTTGTCAAAAAGGTATATACTGCCAGAGTGGTTAATACTATTTTGGCAAAAATTAAGATGAAAACTTGATTATGAGATTAAATTTCCTGCGTGGTTTGTCAGCTGCTCCTGAAGCAATTCTCTAAAAGGATTTTAAAAAATATGTTGAGTAATGGTAGCATCACCTATGCCAGTTAGCCACTTATTTGATACACATCATTTGGGATGTTTAAGTTCTTGTTGTACTTGTTAAACTGACCAGCTAACTAGCAAGAACCTCACTAGTTTATAGCCGCACTTTGGAATTCACATACTAGATGCTTTCTGCCTGGAATGTAAAGGAAGGTTTGAAGAGGCTTCTGACTGAGACTTTCCTGTTCCCACTGTGCTAGATTGCACCCCACGCACCTCATCTGCAATGCACACGCCTCCCCTCTCTCGCACCAGCTCGAAGGCTTCCTTTAGAAAACCCTTTGGGTACTGGACAACTCCATTCACGCCCTGCAAAAGACCGAACCAAGAAGACCTATAATAATGGCACCAGGCCCTTCAAAGCATTAACCCCCCAAAAAAAAACCCCAAACCCCAACACATTATCACCATTATCAGAATAGTAATACTAGCAATTTTTTTCAAAAGACCGAACCAAGAAGACCTATAATAATGGCACCAGGCCCTTCAAAGCATTAACCCCCCCAAAAAAAACCCCAAACCCCAACACATTATCACCATTATCAGAATAGTAATACTAGCAATTTTTTTCCTTTTTTTTTTTTTGTCTTTTTTCGTGTCCGGCAACAGATTGCAACCCTCAGTGTCGCGCCCGTACTGGACCGGGACCGGCAACGGGATCGCAACCCTCGGTGCTGCGCCCACACCTCGCTCAGCCAGTGAGCGGGAACCAGTCTGTATGTGGGATCCGAACCCTCAGTGGGAGTGCCACTGCGCTCCCAAGCGGCGCACTATAACAGTGCACCACCGGGCTGGCCCGTAATACTAGCAATTTTAAAAAGTCTGAAGAACTGCTTCAACTCTGGGTGAAAAGAGGGGCCATTACATTTCTGCCATGACTTCTGGAAAAAGGATGCACATATTTACTCTTTTTTGAGATTAGAAAAAAGTAGAATAAGGGCACCTAGTAAGATTAAAGAAAGACCCCCCTGACAGTGTGGGTGTTAAGCAACTAAAAGTTTTACTGTTTTTTTTTCCTGAGAATTTTAGGAATCCGGTAGTTTCATCTATCTGTTCAGTATGGGGATGGAGATTTTTTTAAATTTTATTTTTTACTTTTAACTTTTATTACTATATTCATTATACAATGTAATCATTTTTTGTGGCTCTTTACCAATTCCTTGAGATCATTTTTTAATGGTCAATTAAAAATCAGGGCTTTATATATTTTTTTTTTTAAGGACCAAGAGAAAAAATTGAATTTGGAAAGGGACACAGCACTGGGCTCTTAATTTGAAATTCATTAGAATGTATGAGTTAAAACTCCGATAATTGAAAATTCAACTCATTAGTGTCTAAGGTTTGTATACCCACTTGAATTGGTTCCGCAAAGAATCCAGCAATTGACTTGGCAACAGAAGTGCTCAGAGTATCTTTGAACTGTTCAATATACTGATCTTTAGCTTGGCAGCAGTCTACAAGCAAACAAAAACAAAAGATGTGAGAATGGCATCCAGAGAATGGGAAAAAACATAGAGAAAAGAACAGAAAACAGGGTGAGTAAATTGATTAGAGACCCTGAGACTATGTAAACTAGGACATGAGGACATGCATTTCCAAAGGCGGGACATTCTTTCAGATGACTTGTACTTTAGTTTTCCGAGGGAGATTAGGGTAGCCATAAAAGCATAAACAAACCACTTCAATTGTTTCCAGCTGGAGAAAAAATGCCCCAAAGTGTCCTTGACTATATAGCTGAGGACATCCGTCCTCTCAAACAGGTGGATCTAATTCAAATGTAATTGGGGTGTGGATTCAATCTATTTGAAAATAATTCTAGGCACCTTTTATTGCCACTTAATCTGATGTACAGTTTTAAGGCTATAAAGTGTCTCCATCTTTGGAGTTAGTAAATATGTTTGTGGAATTATAATTCAGTTTAAAGAGGAGTGCACTAGAGCCCATAACGTTCAGCCATCGCAGCCCTTGGCACTTGGTCCTGTGCCTGTTGTTTGCGGGTCTTTCTCCCTTACGTTGAGAGCTTTTCATGGGCAGGAACTATGCCTTGTTCACTTTTGGAATCTCTGTGACCAAACATACTGTCTGGTGTACTGTAGGTGCTCAGTAAATGCTTAATAAATTAAGAGGAAAATAAAGGCAGAAATTGTGGCTGATGTGAGACATCAAGCAATTTTACTCAAAGGTCTTTCTTATCTGGAATGGGAATAAAATTTCCTAGTTCAAAGGATCTGTCTTTAATTCATTCATTCTCTTTTTGGCTGAGTCTAACTGCTGATAAACCAACCCACCAAGTTTTAAATTTTAATTATCATTATTATTATTTTTTATTATTACTAGAAGGTATATAGTCATCCTTGGTATCTGCAGCAATCATCTTCAAAAGTGAAGCATAAATATATCTTATATTTCAGCACTTCATTAAAAAGTGGGAAAAACATTACCTGGCCCCAGACATCTTTTTAGGCTACATACGATATTTGGGAAACTTGATTGACAGAGGTCCTTGATATTTTTGGTTAGCTGGAGGTTAGAGGTTGCAGGTGTGGGGAAGGAAATAATGACAAAGATATCAAACCTGGAAAGTATGTTTTTAGCATCACTTACATTGTTTCAATGGGAAGAATAAAGTATACAAATAAATTTATGCCTCTAGAAATTGAATTGAATTGAAATTCTCTATTTTTCTTAGGAAAGGAAGAGAAAACAGCTTCAGATGACCCTAAAGGACAGAACAGATGTATGTGCAAAAGACATCATTTGGAAATTTAACAAGCCCATTTGTAACTAGAGAAATCAAAGAGTGGAGCAAAATCAACCCAAGTGGCTTAAATCTGGGCAAAAGCAAACCAAGAGAAAGTTTTGCTAGAACCTATGCTAGACCTTTCATGATTTTTTTCTGGTCTGCGTATGTGTTCAGCGATGAGTGGGGTCATCTGCTGTGATGAGCTTTTTACTTCCTTTCACAGTCACTTCACTGGCTCATTGTTGTAACTGCAGGTCAGGCCGTCTCTGGAGAGACTTGGAGCATTGGTGTGTCCATGACAACAGGGTGGAGGGGGTGCGGGGAGGGTGGATGCTCTGTGGGGTGCTACCACAGAGTGGCTCTGCAAGAGTTTATTTTAGTTGGTGGTGCAGAAAGAGTTAAGCAGAGTGAAGAGCCAAGAAAGAACAACAATTTTTTTTTTTTTTTTTTGTTTTTTTTGTTTTTTTCCGTGTCCGGCAACGGATCGCAACCCA